CCTCGGCTGGCAGCAAGCAGCTCGGATGGCGCCTCCCTGTGGCTGTTTGCCCACAGTTGGGGCTGCAGGAGGAAGCAAGGGCGTGTTGAGGGACTTCCTGCTACTCGCTCCCTTTCTTGCGTGGGCGGTGCACACATCCCCGCCTCTGCTCTCATCTGTTGGCCAGGGCCGCCTCCCACGCCCACTCACTTTCCCTCTGCTTCGCAAAATCCTGCTGCCCTGCAGGCCCATCTCGGATCACAGAGCTTGCTGCAACCCTGAGCAACCTCACATGTGGGACAGTCCCCTTGCTTTGTCCACACGGGATCCTGCGCTCACATGCGGTTCTAGTTGTGCTAGAACCCACGCTCCTCGGAGCAGGGCCTGGGGCTTACCATGCCTGCCTCCCCTGCAGCCCTGGGAGCGTTTGGGAGCCTGCTCTGACAGGTTGGGCCTTCCTGATGGGGTTGTGGACTCGGGACATCCCCACCCAGGCCCCTGACGTTGATAGTTGATTGAACTGATTGAAAATGAACACACACAGCCAGGGATGGGGTGTGTGCCTGCCATCTCAGCAGAGGGGGAGGCTGAGGCAGGAGGATTGAAAAATTAAGTCCTACCAGGGCAACTTACTGAGGCCCTGTCTCAGAAAAAACAAAAAAGGGCTGAGGATATAGCTCATTGTGCAGTCCAGGGTGCCTGCGTGACCCCCCTGCTGCCCCCCTTCTCACTGTCCTCCGTGTAGAGGCGGCCTGATGCCGTGTCCCCGCCCCAGTGGCTGGTGTTATCTGAGTGCAGCTCACTATTAGGCAAATGTAGTCGACTTTTCTGTGTGATCAGAAAGGCAATTCCATACATCTGTTGTCCACTTCTGATTTTTTAAAATGTGTATTTTTATATGTTTTGTTCAATCCTTTGCTTCGTGTGAAATGCTGTGGGAAGAATAAAACAGACAGTGGAAACCCTGCTCTTTGGCAGTGTGGGTCTTGTTGACACCACGGTAGAGTTTGTCGCGTGGGCCGGAGTCCACCCCCTGCTGGCCTCTTCTTCCTTTAGAAGCTGCAGCCAAGTAACCATGCCAGAACCCTGGGGTCCCGCTGCTTGTGGCCAGAGTGGGGCCAGGTGGTGCCTGCAGGGGCTCTGGGGACACAAGGAGCCTTCTCTGCTGGTGGATACATCTGGGAGCCTGTAGTGGCAGGGGGACCCTCCAGGAAGAGGGCAGGGGTGCTTGCCCCAATGCCCCAGCACCCTCCTGAGAGGGCACACAATGCTCCCGTTCCACCACAGAGAATGTGGCCATCCCGCCCCAAAGCGGCTCTGCTCCACTCCATAGCGGTATGGATAACAGGTCTCACTAAGCCAAGTTGCCAGGCTGGGTTTGAATTTGCAGTCCTCCTGCCTCGGCTTCCCAGAATGCTGGGGTTACAGGCGTGCGTCATCATGTCTGGCCCTAACCAGGCATCTCATCACCTGTGCACATCCTGGAAGATTCTCTGGCCTCAGCCCACCCTTGGACATTCTGGGTGGGGACCCTGGGCATCTGCAAAAGTGAGCCCGTTTGGAAGTGTGTTCCTGTGGGAGGGGCCCTTTGGGGGCACCATACGGAGAGCTTTCAGAGGGACCAGCCTCCCTGCACCTCTCCCCTTCACCCCTTCCTGCTCCCCTCTTTCTGCAATCCTACAGTCTTCGGGGTTGCTAAGACTTTTCCTCTAGTTCCAATCCAGTCAGTTCTGGGAACTGCTCTTGCTGTCAAGGGGATTGCTGAACATTCCTACTCCCATCTAGGGGGCGCTGGTTTTACAATTTATCTCAGAGGGAAATTACATTCCTCTGCTTTCCATGCTGCTGAGGGGACTTTTGTCTTAAGCCGGACTGCTATTAAAAAATGGACTGAAAATGTGTTGCGACGGAAGTGTATACTCACAGGCAAACAGCTCTGCAGACATTCTGCTTCCCAGTCTCCTGCCTGGCCCCATCAGGGCCTCCAGCCCGCAGAGGAGGTGCACACAGCAAAGGCACAGTGGTTCTTCGCACCCTGACCCTCAGGTGGGCCACAGCCTCTGCTCAGGCCGCACGCCCCATGAGGAGGGGAGGGAAGCGCACCGCACTGGGCTTGTTCTGTGTGCTCAGGAACGAACAGGTGGGCTGTGGATTCCTGCCGCGGTCGCTTCTCCACCCGCCTCTGCCCTCCCGGTCACAGAAGAGGAGGCGGAGGCTTGGGAGTTGCGGTCCTGGAGCCCAGAGTGAGGATGAGAGGGGACCTTGCTCTTCCTGCCTGACCACACCTCCTCCTGGGCCCAGGGATGGACCAGAGCAGGCTGGGGAGGGGGAAAGGGTGGGGGAGACAGAACTTTTGTTTAACTTAGAAATGTGTGCACGGCATTCATGACCTATTTTAGTACAGAGATTTCAGGTGTAGTTACATCCATCTCTGAAAAACTGCATTCTGCAAAATGACAACCTAGCAATAGCCAGATTTTCAGGAAATTGGGATTAGAGGCAGGCCACACAAAACCAGTGGAACTTGACAAGCCAGTTTGACTTTATCGCCAGCTCTCCTTTGAACACTGATGGGCCAGTGAAAATGTAAGCAGCATAAATCTTTGCCATTTTGCAAAGCAAGGCTCAGTTGGCCCTAACGGAGCACTGGCTTCCACAGAGATGGACTCCCTGAGGCCAGAGCAGGGTCCAGGCAGCTCCTGGGGCTGTGTGTTTATCTTCGCGCTTGAGTTTTCTCGTACACTGTGGATAAATCCTGCATTTTCGGGTGGCGGGAAAGGCCCAGGATATGTTGCAGGGTGGGACTGTACTATTAGTTCATCTTTTTTGTTTGTTTGTTGGATTTTTGAGACAGGGTCTCACTATGTCGTTGAGACTGACCTGGAACTCATTATGTAGCCCAGGATGGTCTGGAACTCACAGCGATCCTCCTGCCTCAGCCTCCCGAGTGCTGGGCTTACAGGCGTGTGCCACCACGCCCGGCTTACCATCAGTTCATCTTTTAAAAGAATGACCCAGAGTGTGGCCTTTTAAAAACTAACAATTGTGCTTTTTTCTTTAGTGACACAAGGGCTGTGTCTCTGTTTCAGTCAGCGTAAGCCATGCACAACCTCAGTGGCTTCCAGCGCAGAAGAGTTGTCTTGCTCCTATTCCACCCCCCAGGATGGCTCCCTGCTGCTCCACAGGCTCCTCATCGGGTCTGCAACTCGGGCTGAAGATCACACTGACTCCCGGGTGGCAGGGGGAGGAAAAGGACCAGGAGATCGTAGGTGACCTCTAAGCTCCGGCGGAGTGGGAGCGCCCCTCATTTCTGCTCTGGTCACTGCCCAGATGGAGCCACGCGTGTCGGGAGGGTGTAGACTCCTCCACAATCGGGGTGAGGGGCACGGAACAGCCAGAGTCTCCTGCACCTTCACAGGGTCCACATCTTCCTCTCTCCTCACAGTGTCCCTGTAGAGCTGGAAGCCAATGAACTGATTCTGGACAGGAAGGCTGTTGTGCAGAGCAGTCGGCTTTGCTCTTAAAGCCATCCTATATCGCTTAGCCTCTGTCTTTCACTGTGGGGAAGCAGGTTCCAGAAACACTGCTGGGTTGGGAAAGCCATTACCTCCTCTCGGGCTGTAGGCGCAAGGGGAGAGGTGGGGAAGTTGGCAAAACCCAGTGAGAGGTGAGGAGAGGTTTGCAGTAGGAAACAGAGCCACGGGGAGACGTCACTGCCCAGACAGCAGCACCACAGTGGGGAGTGGGCAGGGGAGGAAACACCACGGCCGTGTTCCCCTCGCAGGGCGGAAGCCAAGGGGTATCCAGAGGTCAGCGAGCCAGGCCGGGCCCTCTGTGGGATCAACCCCGTGGGGTGCAGAGTGCGGAAGCAAAGAAAGCACAGAGATGGCAGATGGAGAATCACCGACACCACCCCCCATAACCGAGTGCCAACGCTGTAGTTACCAAGACTTCCTCTCTACCTGTGCCAGCCCCTGGGCAGGGAGATGGGGGTGCGCTGGTCTAAAGAGCTCTCAGAGTTAAAGCTCACTTACCACAAAATGCACTTAAAACAGTGTAAGTTCCAAAAAAGGAATTTCAGAAACATTCACATCCTATTTTGAGAGCCCGAAGGACAAGCCTCATTGTACGTCTTTCTGGTGCCCTTTCCTCAGTGGGCTGGTCCTCCGGGATTGGCCTGTGGGGTCCTTCCCCCACCTTTCCCCCTTTATGTTATTTTTCTTGAAACAATCTCAGACTTACAAAAATGTATGTGCACCGTACAGAGACTGTTCCAACCTGAACCATTTGAGAATAAGCTTCCGTGTTGCCCAAGTCGTGTCTCAACTCGTTTCCTGAAAATGCTACACCTTCTTTTTGCATTTTCATTATTAACAAAGCATCTCACATTTGGTATAATTTTGGACAATTTCTTCCTATTTCACAATATCTATTATATATTTTGGTCCTTATTCACACTTTTTTTTTTTTTCTTTTTGGCACCGGGGATCGAACTCAGGACCTTGCATTTGTGTGGCAGGTGCAGTGCCGCTGAGCTAAATCCCTGGCCCCCTTATTTACACTTTGTTTCTCACATCAGAGAGACAATGCGATCTTTGAGTTGAGAGATAGATCAGCTATTGAAAATATATCGTTTTAAGTTTATAATACATAGTGTATTTATCATATTATGCTCTAATTATTTTTGTTATGAAATTTTTCTCATAGAACTCTTTTTATATTTTATTTATTAATATCTACTTGGACTACATTAAAGTTTTAAAAAACCCAAATAAATACTTTAGTGGGTACTTT